TATGTAATTTGACACTAATTTAGGAAAAGTGAGGTCAAGGTCAAGGTCAAAGGAAATGCCAATGTCAAAATCAAAGGAAGACCAAAGTCAAAGATGTTGATGTAGTTGAAAAGCTCTCAGCAATATCTTTCAGCATAGAAGCCCTCCATTAATAATGATAATTTCCATTCCTACGTCGACACGATATATTCTGGTGAGCTTGAGATAAAAGATACCACAGAGTCCGACACTTCTGCTTCATATTTGGATATTCTACTTGAAAAGACACTAATGGTGATCTAACAACCAAGCTATATGACTTTAACTTTTCTATCGTCAACTTCCCTTACTTATGCAGCAATATACCTTCATCACCTGCATACGGAGTATATATATCTCAGTTGATTCGATACGCAAGAGCATGCTCTACGTATGAACAATTTCTTAATCGAGGTAAATTATTGACAAGCAAGTTGATGAAACAAGAATATCAACAGTCTCGTTTAAAGTCATCATTTCGTTAATTCTATGGTCGATACAATGACCTTGTCAGCAAATACAATTTATCATTGAATGAAATGCTGACTGACGTTTTTCATACCAATTGTAAGTCCATAATTTATACACTGAATTGACGACGGATTTTTTCCATTATTTCCTGATTATTACAACGAGCACACGGCGGATGTGACCGGTCGGCAGGGGATGCTCACTCCTCCATGGCAACTGATCCCACCTCTGATGTTTCGGAGGTCCGTGTTTGCTCTGCTCTTATTTTGTATATTGTTTAATGGACGTTGAGATTGAATACTGTTCGTTATTTCCATATCCTTCCAAGAATTATTACTGGTCTGAGAGTAAATACCTCAAGATCTATTTTATACGACGAACTCGGATGGGAGCCTTTATTTCAGCGAAGAATTAACCATAACCTAATAATATTTTATAAAATTTTCTATGGTATTGCTCCTTATTATCTTAGAGAATTACTACAGCCTCTTCATTGTCAGATGCCCTTTTGAATACACAACTTTCCACACAATTCAAACATAATACTTTCCGGGGATTCCTAAAAATCCTAGCGCACACACCTTCTCAATTAATCAACAATATGTTATTGCCATAAATAACAATGACAAATTGTCGACTATAATTTTTCGTGTGTGTGCAGGTTTACCGTGTGAAAATTGTAACCAATGCAGAATAAATTCAAAATTTACTGCTCATTTCGTTTTCAGCTGTTGTAGAACCTCTGAAGTAACAAGCAATTTTCAAAATGTTAAATCGTGAAACCTGCTCAAAATTCTACAGTGACTACGCACGAAATTTGAACTAACTCACAAGTTATCAGTCAACGAGCGTTAAGTTCTGTTACCGGCGACGCCAATATAGAAAATCAAAGTACTGAAAGTACTCATTGGAGTTGAATATTGTTATCTGAAAGATCTCACAGGAAGTAAAGGAATCGTTTCAAGTCAGCTAGAACTGATTTGTTAGAGATGCAACACGAAACATTAAAAATAACTTCTATTGCATTTGAATAGTCAAGATCATGGAACCGCTCTTTAATTGTAGCTCTCCGAAAAAAAAAAATGACAGAACGGAGGCTACAGTACCATCCATGAAAAAATTGAATATTTATCACGGTCAAGTTTAATTCTGGATTTATTCTTTCTAATTCTTACCTCAACAATTTGACCAAACCAAACAAACACCCCCACCATCAAAAAATAATTTTTCCAAACTCGAAAATACTATTTTGTTGGTAGGTTTCAAACTTCTTTCAGTATTTTTATTCCTCAAACTCAAACACTGCCCTTATATTTCTGAAGGATTTGAATCAAAACGCTCCCTACTCTGTTTAGAATGTGTACAAGATATTTAGTCCCAAGAAACAAACAAACAAACACTCTTTATATTCGATGTTACCATCACCAGACACTAGATTGTCATTTTTCTTCCTCTGATTTAAACAAGTATTTGCTATTCTCTTTTGGGTATGAATGTTTCTTTTCGGACACAATAATTAATTTTTATAGTACTGCGTGCTTATCTATTTTTATGAAATGTGTCCATCATTATAACTTAATCATCAAGTCTTGATATTCTATAATTTTAAATTTCATTTCAAGTAATTTCTATATAACAGTGAGTATCTGAATACTTTACATTTTGTTTGTTTTACGTTCGATAATTTTTCAATCATATTGAGACACTACCACTTGTCGATGGAGCTAGCTACATGTAAGTCTACAAATTTTTACCTATAAACGGCACTCAAAACCACTGAGTAGTGATGGGATCGTTTTGTGCAAGCACATACTGCGACATGGGATTTCGGTTTATATGGTCTCATCAAAAGAGTTCGTCTCTAAATTCATCCAACAGGATTCGAACCTGCGACGTAAGGATCAATTATCACCTTACTTTGAATCTCTAGGGCAAACTATTTTAACAACTGCACCACGCGAGTGACACTTAAAGTTTGTGATTTTGATTTGATTCCAATGTAATTAAAACTCAGACATAGTTTAACGAGCTACTACAAGGAAAAAAAAACCAGTTGTAATAATGAGGAACGATCTTTCTCACAGATCGATCATTGGGATTATTATTCCATTTTGTCTGTGCATACGCATGTATTCATTAATTTTCAACTGTTTTAATTCTATGATAAAATCGAATGATACATTTTATAAGGTTATACTGCAATACAGTACATATACATTTTTCAAGTTCAGATTTGGTGTTGTACACGTGTCCAACTGAATGCTGATAAATTCATGAAATTAAGGATGCAAAATTAAAGTCATTTGAAATTGTGAGATCTAATATCAACAAACTTTTATGCTATTATTTTTTTCCCTTTACCAACGTAAAAAAATGAATTGCATGTATCTGGTCTGACAAAAATTTTCCAATCTAAAAGATCATTTTACTTGTCAGAGCAAATAAATGTCTGGCAGTGATATTTTCCGCAGTATTTGAAACGTTGTTCTGTCTCTTTATTGCTGAAACAAATTGAAAGAAGTTGGGTTAAACCTTAGCGTTACTTTGACCTTACCTCTTTGTTTACATCTCTTTATTTAGACAATCGCGTCATAGTTAAACCAGATAGACCAGTTGTTGCTCCTTGTATGACCTCGCACTTTTTAGATTGGAGCATAGTGGAGTTAGCCGAGGATTGCCGAATGAAAAATGAAGGAAGACTGGCGCAGTACAGTTAAGGCAACATTTTCTATAAAAAGTCAGCGAAAACGATACAATTAATATTTAACTATTTTATTTTTCAGCAAGACACTCTAGTTAAAATAGCTTTATGTTATCTTGAAGAGTATGTCCATCGCTATTCACCTAGGAATTTTTGTGATCATGTGACCCTCTAAAGTCACGTGGGCTCCTATTTTAGGTCAACATATGAAATGTTAAATTTAACCTAAACGTTCAAGGGCAAGACAAACAAACAAATAACTGCACAGTGTTTTAAATTATTCCTATGTATCTATACTTTCGCAAAAGTGATGCTCATTCAGTTGGTTTTCCGATACATTTAAGTTATTCACCTGAAACGGTCTGTAGTATATGAAAAATAGGGTACTTTCCTAATATCATCGGAAATTATAAATTACCTAAAGGATTACAAAGAAATGAGCATCACTTTTTAAAAACTATACAGTAAAATGAATAATTTAAAATAAAAACCTACTTACTAGGTTGTCGCCTTGCCCTTGAACTTTTTGATTAAAAATTGACATTTTGGTACAGTCAGTCTAAATATAGTTTTCAAACGCATCGTTGACCCAGCATGGGAGATAACTCTTTAGTACTTGATAAAGTTTGTTTACCTCGTAGATTTTAAATAATTTGCAGAATGCGCTTGGATCTTTTTACTTAATCGAACAGTATGCATAAAACACTGGATATGACTTTCTATTTTGTGACTTCGTTCTCTATACAATGTATGAATTATGTGTGTGTTATAAGACGTCTTTCAGACCTTCCGCATTTCCTCGAATCTGTGTAAACACACATTCAGCTACATGTAGGTGTAAAGTTTGCCGCAGCATGTAGTCTAAAACGCTGATTGTTAATAAAAATGGGAATATTCAATTATAATAGTCAATTGAAAGCCTCCATCAATAATTAATTCGATAACTATACCCCTCTGTCACTAATGTACATACATGTACACTTGTGTACAATATTTTTTTTTTCGCATACAAGATTATATCATGCCTTTCTTTCAAACCTTCAACTCCTATTGGATTTAAGTCATACTTTTTTAAGTACTAAGACTTAGAGAAAAATATACATATTCCTGTATTTGTTAAAGGGACTACCATTTTATTCCAAAAGTGGGGGGGGGGGGTTAATTCTCAAAAATGTTGAAAATAAATATGTCCCAGACAGGATAAAAAATTATTAATCTGCCCCAGACCAGTGTTTCCCCTCCTATAATTTTTTTTTAGCTTGTCAGACATTTTTCAGTAAGGAGGAAAATAAAAAAATCTGTCCTTCATCTTATTGGAAATAAATATTAGTAGACCTGTCCTTCATTGACATGAAAAGAAATAAAAAAAATAATAACTTGGGAAAACTTGCCACCACCCCCCCCCCCCTTTTTCCCTTCAGAATAAAATGGTGGCATTAATCTGTTAATATTCCATCATGGTGTATTATTGCCCCATGAGACAGATCTGTTAATGTGGTGCATTATTGCCCCATGAGACAGATCTGTTAATGTGGTGTATCATTGCCCAATGAGACAATTAGGGGGCCTTTAATCTCCTTTTTAGTTACTATTATTAAGAAAAACAAATTAACACAATGCACATGCTGGAAAAAAATCTTGATGGACATTGACAGCCTGGCACCACACAAATATATGCAAGTCAAGATTATCAAATCTTTATAGCCTTTTCAACACCTGTACAGTAAGTACATGTATATGAAAAAGTCAAATCATTTTTATGAAGACATTTATTTCATAAACATCTTTTCAAATTAAGATAGACTGTACAAGCTGCAAATTTTTTCCATCACTTCATGTTCTTGTGGATGAAATTAATTCTGAAAATACATGTATGAGAAAATCAGGACATACATATAGTAACATACCATTATTGAGAGAAAATTGGTGTTTAAAATTAAATTAAATTCAGATTATTGCATGAAAACATGCATTGGATGCAAAATTAAATGTTTGCAATTCTACTGTTATATTTTATTGTATGCCAGGAATATTGCATGGTAATTTGGTTTATAGCTAATATGGAGCATACCTTTTTCCTTCCATCATGGATGAACTTGCTGCCTGAATGATTCCATTGGTCCAATTCTTTAGGAATAGCTGCAACACATTATATATGATAATGCTATGAGATTTCTAAATAAAAAACATTGTATAATAAAATCATTTTACATTTGACAAAACAATTCATGATATTTTGTATATTGTAGTGAATTTATGAAATTCATATAAAAGATAAATAGAAACAAAGTTGTATTACAAAAATTTCTGGGAAATTAAAACCTCTGACATTAACAAGAACAAATTATTAGAATTAAAAAAAATTCTTTCATCTTTATGAAAAATAAATATAGGCCTAATCATGCACACATGCATGGTAAAAAAAATGTGAAATGCTTTATAAGTGTACATACCCTGTGGAGAAATGGATGCATTTTGTATTTATTTAATCTTCAAGCCTGGATCTCTTTACTGCTACAAGAATAAAAGTATTAAATGTCATATGATTAAAAAAAATATTATGTGTAGGCCTTAATTACAGAAATTAATTGACTTAAAAAGTGACATGAAATCAAAATAAAAATATTAAATATTTTATTCCCCATTAATTTAGAAATTCTATAAATTTAAAACCATAGATCTAAAATGGAGGTTCTTTGTTTTCAACATAGTGATACAAATAATATTTTTTACATTTTGTAGCAAATTTGTATGCCAAAAAGACAACAACATTACATACAACATTACATGTTCAGTAAATCACCACACTGACTGCAGCAATGAAATTTCAAATTTAATTTACTCTAAGTTTGTAACTTTGTATTATTGTTGAACCCCCTTGTTACACATATTGTCTCAGAGAAAAAAAGCTAATCGACTCTATATTTAGTACAATTACATTTTTAAATTTCTAGTAAAACAAAGTGATCAACTTTATGTGGGCTGTTGGGAGGGGGGGGGGGGGGTCGGGCGACGCACACTGCACTGCATTAGTTTTTCACTGACTGTGATAATACATCTAAATAAACACGTACACATCAGCGATCGTTTTTTCTTCGATGTTAACAAAAGCATATATCTACATAATGTACATACATGTGCATACATACCTGGGCTGAATGCACTGCAGTGATGGATCTAGGGAGCTGGTGCAGATCGTCTCAGTCTTCCATTATTTTCTGTAATAATGTCCTCATATTCTCGTAATACAAATAAAAAATGCCTTGTCTCTTATCTTATCCCTATTTTCTTTAAAGAATGTCTGATTATCGCATTTAAATTCACTACATATCTCAGCTGATGTCGCCACGTTTTTAGATGTGTCATCGAGTGCAAGCGCTTGGCTGAAGCCGAAGGCAGCCAAACGGCACATAAGAAAGAGAATTATTTTAAAAACATGCCATTCTATGTAGGAGAAAATCACTAATAATTATTTATTTAAACACGGAAATATTGCCGTTAGTTACAAATTCTTGCAAATATCTGTAAATAGTTATTTTGAGCTCTATTTCCTTATAAGGATCAATCAGGGCGGAGCAACTGTCATGACGTCAAACCTCATTATGACCTCATTACCATATTTTTTCCATGGGTTGCCTTAACCGTACTGCGGGGACTTTTTTCCATACTTAAATCAAAATTTACGCGTCATTTCTCAAGAGAGATGCACAAAATATGCTATTCAAATTAAGTTTAATAAAATTCCATTTCATTTACTTTCAAATCAATTATGAAATTAGATAGGCCTAAATTCAGAAAAATGAGATGAATTTTTATTGCGGAAATTTCTTTGAGTTTATATATAGATTGGTACGAGTTGGTATTGAATATAAAAGGGGAATAAATTGGCCGACACAGAAACACCACGACCGCCGCTATATAATTTATTGTAAAATTACTGCGCTAGAAACCGCTTGAAGACCTAGGGAGTCTGAACATAGTTCAACTCCCAAAAATACACCTTTTACCTACTTTAGAACGTATTCTGTTATCACAGGTACAAGCAGGTAAAGTACAAATACATGTATATCATATATACAATAAACAAAGTTCTGCAGTGCTGCACGAGCTGGCGGGAAGAACGTCTCCGTGAATCTAATAATAAAATCGGGGAATCCCCTTTGGAACTCGTAATAAGTTCATTCGTTACTACAAAGGGAATAACTTGTCTTTGTAAACTTTGACTTGTGACGCTGATATATGATATATCAAAACTGATGGTAAAGATGTTGATGGTCAAGTCTATTACTTGTCTTGGCTGAATACATGTAGAAGTCTGTTATTTGGTAGCGGCTATGTATATTATTCTTTAATAAGAGTCAAGCTAGGTATTAGGACAGTTGTTTATTATAAAAGTCAGTACCTGTGACATATTAAATTGACCAGTTTGTAGTCATATTAGTGTTACACTTTATCGTGAGTACATAATAGTGCCATGTGTTATATCTAGTGTAGGTCTCACTATATATGCTTTTATATGACTTTAGTGTTGAGTAGTTTGATCAAGAATTGTGCACGCTCATGTTATGTAGGTGAACTACTAGGTTTAATTAGGATAAATAACATCATGAACCATCATTCAGTATATACACTTTGTACATACTTTATAACTGTTGTTTATTAATTTGTAATTTGATCCGTCTTTTCCTTAAACTTCAATATGCCAATGAATATTCCAAGGAATTGAAGCGGTTAATATACGTACAATGAAAACTGTCTAATCCGACACCTGAATAATCCGACACACTGTGAATTCCGACGTTAAATCTCTTTCCCATTTTAGTATTTTCCTTGTTTTAACACTATGTGTAGCGGGTATTCCCGGCAATGATGATGGAAAACACCAGTTGAAGTTATATATATATTTATTACGTTGACATCTTTAGCTGATTATAATTCGGACAATTCGGAAATAATGGAAACAGTGGATATGTCCAATTTATGGAATTGAACTTTGTCCTATTCAACTATACATTTCTTTATTTTATGATGTTACATTTCAGGAATTGTCCAAGGTCTCAAGGTCTTAGGAAATAATACGAAAAATCAGCAACAAAGTAAACTACGTCTTCTCCATATGAAATCAGAAATCTAGAGTCTAAACTGAATTAAACTCACTTCACCACAAAGACCAAAACACTAACCAGTGAAAACTAAGCATTTCAAAAACTGACCAATAGATATGTGTGTGGTCATGTAAAAGTGTATGTACAGGTGTGGATCCAAAGAGGTGTATAACTATAGCACTAAATACCCAAGTTAGTAAAGAATGAAAAGAATAAAGCTTTAACGGAAAACTTATCATTTATAACTTATTTAATAGTTTATTTAGTTTATTTAATTTATATTTAATATTTATTTTATTTCATTTAAAAATCACTTCAACTTTTATTATTTTAAATAAAAGTACCTCTACTACAAACTCCCCCCCATTAGAAAATGACGTCCCCGTCATTTCTCTAATGGACTTACTAAATATACTCTGCGATTCTTTAAGTTAACTGGATGATCTGAAATAAAAATAAATATGTACAATTAAAAACAGATTAATTTCTCTTTAAAATATCTAACATTGTTTGAACAATTTCCTTTTCATATGATTTCATTTCCTTTGATGATTTCAAACGATGTAGATAGTCACACTTCTTCATCCATTCTTGTTGCTGCTGTTGTTGTACTAAAACAAATTCCTGGGGGGTTAATCTGTCTGGTTTTCTTCTCTCCCTATTGCTTCTCCTTGGTATAACTGGTAGAGGTTCTTCTTCTTCAGATCTGGTACTACTGGCTTCAGCATGTTCCTGCTGTTGCTCTGTCTCTACTGGCCGTTGTTCTGTTACTTCCTCCTCTGCATCATGATGCTGTATTTCTTGTTCTCTTTCCTGACTCTCTTCTATATGATCCATCTGTTGTATGGGTCTTTGTACAGGCTGCTCCCTAGGGCTATGTACAATCTGCTCTTTAGGGCTCAGTACTCTCTGCTCTCTAGGGCTCTGTACTCTCTGCTCTTCTGATCTCTGTACTCTCTGCTCTTCTGATCTCTGTACTCTTGGCTCACCTGGGTGCTTACTAACATCTACTGGGATGTTAACCACAGGGATCCTTGATACCGGTACCGGAATGAATTCTGTATCTGACTCTTCTGTCTCTTCATCTGAACTAACTTTGTCATTCTCTGATTCTCTAATCTCTGGTATTTTCTCTTGAACCTGTCCTTGTTTCTTCTTCAGTGTCTGCCTTGTCCTGGGTTTTGGAGTAGGTCTGGAAGTTGATGGTGATGTTTCGTCTACACTGGTTTTATATGAATCTAGATGTCCAATAGGGAGTAAAAGGTTTCTATGTAAAGTCCGAGTTTTTCCTTTTGTTGTTTCTTTCTGTACTTTATAAACTGGGATTTCTGGATTAGGATGTTCAATTACTAAGTACGGTTCTTCTTCCCACTTATCAGCAATTTTGTGCTTTCCATCAAAAGCTACAATTTTTACAAGTACTCTGTCTCCTAACTGTATTTCTGCATTTGTTGTTCTTCTATCATAAATCTCTTTCTGTCTTTCCTGTGATTTCTTGGTAATTTTGTTCACTAGTTCGTAAGCTGCTTTCATGTTTTCTTTCAAGTTGCTGATGTATTTCGATACTGATTTCTTTTCTTCTTTCTTTAGGCCAAACTCTATGTCAATTGGTATTTTGGTTCACGTCCAAACATAAGGAAATGTGGGGAAACTCCGGTTGACTCGTTCTTGATGCAGTTGTACGCATGCACTAATGGATTAATATACAGCTTCCAGTTCTGTTTTTGTGATGGTTTCAGGGTTCCTAGCATGTTGAGTAAAGTTCTGTTATACCTCTCACATTACCCGTTGCCCATTGCATGGTAAGGGGTTGTCCTCGACTTTTTCATACCTGTAATCTGACATAATTCTTTGATAATTTGGCTCTCGAAATTAGCTCCCTGGTCTGAATGTATTCGTGTTGGAATTCCGTAGTAAGTAATAAAGTTGTTGTATAACGCTTCTGCTGTTGTCTTTGCAGTCATATTGCGTGTTGGTACCGCATGCGCAAAACGAGTGAAGTGGTCAGTTATTACAAGTACATGTTGATATCCTCCTTTACTCATCTCTAATGTCAAGAAATCCATGCAGACAAGTTCTAGTGGATAAGAAGAATTGATGTTGACTAATGGTGCTTTCTGGTTTGTTGATTTCCTGTGCACACATCTGTTACAGTTCTTGATCCAGTTTTCGATGTCTTGGTGCATTCCTACCCTATAGAATCTGTCTTTGACTAGAGATGATGTTCTTTCTCTGCCTGGATGTCCAAACTTGTTGTGTAGTTCTGTCAAGACTTTGTCTTTGAATGATCTGGGTATTACTAATTGCTGATTCATGTTGTCGAATGAAGTTGTTTCCCTGTAAAGAATATTGTTGATTAGTCTAAGTTTGTTGAAGTTTCTAACTAATGCTTGTGAGTGAGGATGAAATAGTAAGTCCTCAAGTCTAGGTTTCTTTTGTAGCTTTACATGATGAATCCAGGATTTTAGAGTTGGGTCACTTCTCTGAACACTGTACCAATCTATCTGTTGGTCAATGATATCCTGTTGAGAAAAAGTTTGATCAATAATTGAGGTATCTAAAGACAAAGTAGTGACAAGTGGCTCTGCATGAACTGCTTTACATACTGCTCTGACAGAATCTGTAGAAATGGACTGAAAATTATCATTAGTTGGTCTTCTGGACAGGGCATCTGCATCTTGGTTCTGTTTACCAGGCCTGTAAATAATGTTGAAATCATAAACAGATAATGCTGCTAACCACCTATGGCCTGCTGCGTCAAGTTTGGCTGACGTCAGTACGTATGTCAAAGGATTGTTGTCCGTCAGTACTGTGAATTTATGTCCATAGAGATAGTCATGAAATTTCTCACAAATCGACCATTTCAAAGCTAAGAATTCTAATTTATGCGCTGCGTAGTTCTTCTCTGTAGGACTTAGACTGCGGCTGGCGTAGCTGATGACTCTTTTTCTTCCTTGTTGTTCCTGGTACAGTACAGCTCCAAGTCCTAGCTTGCTGGCGTCTGTATGTAGCTCAAATGGAAGATTGTAATCAGCATATCCAAGAATCGGTGGTTCTGTCAAGAGTTACTTAAGATGTTGGAAGGCTTGTTGTTGTTCCGTTCCCCATTTAAATTCCTTTGCTGCTTGTTTTCCCTTTTTGTCCTTCTTACTATTGGCTTTTGGCATCATTTCTGTCAGTGGCTTTGAGATTTTACTGAAATTGGGAATAAATCTTCTGTAATACCCGATGAAACCAATAAACTTTCTTATTTCTTCCGGTGTACGTGGAATGGGCCAATCCAGGACTTTCTGTACTTTCTCTGGGTCTGTCTCTATTCCTTCCTCGGAAACAATGTGGCCTACATACTTTACCTTTCTCATAAATAGGTTACACTTCTTAGGTGACAGTTTGAGTCCTGATTCCCTAAGTTTGTCAAAAACTAGTTGTAATCTGTGGATGTGTTCTTCGTAAGATCTTGAGAATATGATTAAGTCGTCGAGGAAAATAAAACAAATATTCAAATGTAGGTCTCCTAAACAGCTCTCCATTAGCCGTTGGTAAGTGGCAGGGCTGTTTGATAGTCCGAATGGTAGTCTGTTAAATTCGTAAAAACCAAGAGGTCCTACGGTAAATGCTGTACGTTCTTTATGTTCTTCTAATATCTCTACCTGATGGTACCCGGACTTCATATCCAAAACTGAAAAGTAACTGTTTCCTGAAAGAGCATTAAGAATTTCTTCTATCCTTGGCAAGGCATATGCATCTTTCTTAGTCCTCTGGTTAAGTTGTCTGTAATCTATGCACATCCTTAATTTGTTGTCCTTTTTTCTAACTAAGACCACATTACTCGAGAATGGTGAACTTGATTTTCTTATGACATTGGAATCTAAAAGCATTTGTAAATGATTTCTAATCTCTTCAAACATAGCAGGTGTATTCGCCGTGTTCTCTGCTTGAAAGGTTGTTCATCTAGTAAGTCGATTCTGTGCTTTACGGTGTTGTTAAATCCAATATCAGTCTCGCCTTTTGAAAATATATCCTCGTACGCTCTGAGTAGTTCATGTACTTCCTGTATCTGACTTGATGACAAGTTGTCAGTAGAAATCTTCACTTCCTGTAAATGAGTTATCTCCTCTTGTTGTAGATGTTGAGGCTGATCTATGATGGATACTGGGTGCATCTCACAAAGTATTGCCTTTGGATTTACAGTCACTGTTCTTGTTGTCAAGTTACTGATGTTCACTGGTATGACTTGATTTTCTTTCGAGCTGAAGTTAACGACAGATGGTTCAATGTCAAGTTCTTTTGGAATTCTGGAGTATTTTGTTGACTGTAGTAATGCACAAGTTGAGTGGTATGGGATCTTCCTATCTGCATACCCATTAATCACTACTTGGCTATTCGGACGGATGGTGATTGTCTGTTGTTCGGCTGATTTCACAATGGATAATCTGAAATTCTGCTTCATTAATGTTTTCTCTCTCAGGTGTAAACTTCTGAATGCTAAATACCAAGGTGTTTGCAATGGTGTTTCCTGCAAGAACTTCTCTCCATACTGCTGATGAGTGTTGTTGAGAAATAAGTTGATGATGTTGGTTCCTAATAATATTGGAGGTGATTTGCTGTAATTCGAATCTGGTACAATCAAGAAAAGGCATGGTAATGGTTGACAGTTGGGAATTCCTATTGGTTGAATTTCTGCTTCAATGTACCCTTGTTAAGAAAGAGAATTTCCATCTGCACACTCGATGTTAATGAAATCTTGTATTGGATGGATAGGATTTTCTTGAAGATTGTTGTCATAAAATGATCTTGATATTGTGGATACTGTTGATCCTGTATCTAGTAAGGCTCTAGCTTTGATCTGTGAAATCAGGATGTCTGTCTCTGTTGATTCACCAATCAATTTTGGCTGGTACATGGGGCTCTGTAATCTCCGACCTATCGTCGTCCCCTTACCGACGGTCGAAGTCCGTTTAAATGTCCTCTGTAATGGTCGACTTTAACTCGACATCCAATTTGGAGGTGACCTTGTTGACCGCATCTCCAGCATACAACTTCCTCAGAGGCTGGTGGTTGTGAGGTCGGAAATCTGGTATTTTGTTGTATCTGAGGAGCCTGATATCTGTATGGCGTACTGAATCTATGAGGAGCTCTAAATCTAGGAATGTAATTTCCTCGTGTCATTCCTCTTCCTCTATACTGATCATATCTCCTTTCTCTCTTCATCTCCTCTAACTCTGTTGACAGTCTATTCACAACACCTCTTAAATCATCTGTATCCTCCTGTTTTCTGTCCACAGTAACTCTCTTTGATGGTATGGGTTTTGACTGTTTTTCTGATGCAGTTCTTTTCTCTTTGTCCTGCTCGATTACTCTCATTGCCATTCTTAGCTCATCAAAATCAAGGTATTTGTCATGTAAATGACCTGATATGTCCTTCAAACTAGGCTTCATTCCATTCCAGAACATGTTTCTTAACATTTTATTTTCATCTCCTTGCTTCACTTGTCCTCGCATGACAGCTTTGCTGAGTAGATCCTCTAGTCTACATCCCCATGTTGAGATATCCTCACTTTCTCCTTGCTTCGCATTGTAGAAGTTAGCGAGCAATGATTCTTTTTCCTCCACAATTCCGTAGATACTGTCTAACTTATTCAATATTTCCTCCACGGTTGCATTTGGTCCTAGACGCATAAGCACTCTACTCGCTGGAGAACGCAATGATCTCCTGATTGCTAAACAAATAATGTTTTCTGAAAAATCATTTGCTTGCAAGCACTTTACCTCGTATCGCCACTGATCATATAAAATATCACCCTTTTTGTCACCTGCAAGCCCTGATATTTTAGGGACACCACTCAAAGGAATGTTGGTCGAGGAAGTGGGCAGGGTAAGGTCATGGGCAAATAGATCAGGCTTGGAAGGGGTAAGGTCATGGGCAAATGGGTTAGGACTGGGAGGGACATGGTCACCGAGAAATGGGTTAGGACTAGGAGGGACAAGGGAATGGTCACCAGGACTAGCATGAACAGACGGACTGGGTAATTCCTTCTTTAAGGAATCAGCATAATACAAAACCCAATTCTTAAATTCTTCAGGGGTACTACCTTCTGGTTTGATCTCTAATGCCTGAAATGTAGACAACAAGTCAGACTTTTCTGTCTCTGAGAACTCTGCCATGATGATAATGAATAATAAATACCAAATCATGCAAGTATTTGACCAATCAATGCGAAAATTGCAACTATATAGCAAGCATGTAATAAAAAAATAATAAATGACAACTCAAACACAAAGAAACCGACGCGCATCTAACTGACAGATGAAATAAATAAACCGACACGCTGATTGCCTGTAAATAAAGACTTGTTTGTTTATGTTGTTTTAAACAATCTACATGTTTAAATTGTTTTAAACTGTTTTAAACAATTTACATTTTGCAACAAACACAATAAATGTTACGCGATTTTTTTTTTTTAAACCTTGTTTATAACTCTTTTTTTTTTAACCTGAAAAGATCAGAAGCTAAAGATGTTAGTAGCTTAACA